TGGAACATTTATTCCACTCTGGATTCTTGTGAGTGTAGTCTTTGTTCACTTCACAAAAAAAAAAAAAATAAATAAACAGTTTTGAAAACTTCTGTATTCATTCTTTTCCTGCTTTGTATGTCAACGTTCACGGTTGCTAAGCAACAGAGCATACGGCGGTAAAACCCGCCGAAGGGTAGACCTGGTCGAATTCACAGCCAAAACTCTTCCGCTCTCCTTATTTTCAAGGACTTTGAAGGATCCAGTCTAGGTAGACCGCGTCCTTGGAGGATGCGTCCTAGGTTTTCGAACAGAGTCTGAATGGCATCCAAGATCCAACGCAATGGGTGCCTTTAAAAGACACTTAACACCATTTTATTCTTTAAGTCTTTTATGCAAGAGGACTTCAGAATTAGGACGATCTTAGCTTTACAAGGAAAAACAAAATTAGAAAGTACTGGACAAAAATAAAGATTAAAGAGATATTTTAAACATTTATTGAAGATCATCATAAAGTACAAGTGAAACATCTGTTAAACTGGCTTAATGAACAGCTCTAAAGCTCTCCTCTAAAACAATTATTCAGAGATTTAAGCCACATTAGAGAAACCATGAAGCATCCCTAGTAAAGGGATCACATGATCTGCACTGCGTTGGCACTTACAGCATTTTAGATTTTATTGTTCATTTGAATTCCATTCATAATTCATAATTTCTGTTTTGGAAAAATACAAAGAGATCATAGAAAACATGTATTCAAAAAAAAAAACACACCTCATGTCTTACTGTGCAGAACAAAGAAAGTAATTTTAAGTCCAAACAGCATCATTTTGCAATTGACTTAACATCACAATGGACACGGTTAATATTTTCCCATCAGAACAGAGTTACAGTTAAAACGTTTTTTCTTCTAGGACACAGTAAAGGATACAATCAGCCAGTCAAACATTTCGATGATTTATGACGATCTTGGGGTTAAAAAAAATAGTTTATCCTTCTTATTTATGTGTTTATGCATTTCTCAGACACTTTTATCCAAAGCAATTAGGGACAAAAAAATCCCAGTTATTTTCAAAGCTATCAATAAGCAACATAGATGGAAATGAGTTACAACTTTAGTGACTTGGGTGGAGTGCTAGGTTTTTACATCCTTCTATTTGCTTTTTTTTTATTTGTCTATTTTTACGACACTAGTGGCTCAATTTTCTGACAGTAGGCTGAGAGGAGAGGGGGTGAGGCGTGCGGCAAAAGACCACAGGTTGGCTGCGTCGTTTGCACCGACCACTGCGCCACCTGCACGCCCACTTTTAGAAGCTTCAAGGTTCAACACCACCAGTGTCACTTCTGAAAAAATGTTGAATAAAACTTTACATATATTACAGATTCTACATTTAAAAGAAAAATATCAACTTTAAGGTCTTTCCCTCTAAACATCATCGTCTCTGACTTCTAAAATTATTTAAATCTAACTTGAATGGTGCAAAAACTGCACATCGGATTTCATACTTGTTTTTATTTAGACTAAAACGAAGCCAAAACCTGCAAACAAGTCCTCATTCATTATGACCCCATACAAGTTTTAATAGAATAGATATTATTAAACAATGTTTACTTTTATTTAAATGACCTGAAATGAAATAACTTTCTAGAAAATGTCTTCTTTTATAGAGCTGATTGGCATGAACCTGACTTCTATTGTCTCTCTTAAAGACGAAGAAGGTTTTTAGACAATCTGTGTCTACGCAATATTTTGTTTGATTTATAATCAGCAATCAATCAAATCATAAACAGTCTGAAATCTCTTATAGGTTTCTTTTTTCTACAACTGGGACAAGAACAAACCACTTTAATTTATGGATTTAAAAAGATCTGCATTTCGTTTTACTACGACTATGCTTTTACGCTTTACACCAGTCTCCTCAGACCCGAGGACTGACGACTCAGGTACATGACTGAGCACTTTATCCCATCGCTGCACCTTTACGATAGATTTAGGTATAAAACAAGTCAATACAACCAAATATTAGTCACTAAAAAATATCCTCAAATGTTTGTAGAGCAGAAACCGGTTGCCATTTGGGCATATTTTATTTTGCCTTTAAACGTTTGAGAGACTTTAAAGACTGTTAGTATTTTAGTGATTGATGTGTGTTGCTATTAGGGTAGCAGGGTAAAAGCAGACTGAAAAAGACTGGATTATTTCTTCAGAAACTTCAGAATCAGTTCTTTTCTATTCTTCATTTGCATGTATTTGTGCAGAATCTCCTATTCAACCACAATGAGTGATTGCAAAGTATACAGCGCAATAAATGTTCTACTTGTATGCAGTTCAGAGCCATCAAATAATAAATTACTACATGCTGGTGTAAACCCTACTGTCCTATCAGCACAGACTGCTCTGCTGCACGCCGCCGCCGCTCACAGCGTCTTCTAGATTTTCCATCAAGAATTTACTTGACAGTTACTACTGTGGTGTTGTGAATAGACTCCATAAGGGCAGCCAGGCGGCTGCACAGGTCGTGGGCCTGGTTGACGTGGACTTTTGGTGGATCTTTTAGTAGAACCGTGCCGGTGGAACCATCAAGGACCCGCGGCAGCAACTCACTCAGCTTTACCTGCAATGAATCTATAAAAAAAATATAAAAAATAGATGGTTTATGTATAACAAACCTACAGAAGGATTAGGGCCACTGCAAAAATAAAAAAAAATTTAACTGATTTTTAAATTTTATTTCAGTATAATATGAGAAAAAAGAATTCTGACTTTTATCTCAGAATCTGACTTTAGCATCAAGCCGTAGCCATTTCAGTTTTAGAGTCTAAACTAGCTCTCTTGTTTTATTCACCATCTATTCTTCCATTAATGAAATAGCATCACCAGGGACCCCTCAGGCACGTAAAAAGTCCCCTAATTCCGTCATTTTTCACCAATGTGTCACTGGCCCTCCGAAACAACTCACATCTTTGTCAGTGAAGCTAAGTGCTCCCACATTTCTTCCTTCATTTTGCCCATCTACATTAAGATCCAAAATTAAAATCCAAAACAAGATTAAAGTCAGAATTCTGAGATTACAGTCAGAATTTTTAAAAAAAGGGCAGAATTCTGAGACTAAATTCAGAATTCTGATTAAAAAAAAGTAAGAATTCTGAGATTAAAGTCAGGATTCTGAGAAAAAAGTCAGAATTCTGAGATTAATCTCAGAATTCTGATAAAAAAGTCAGAATCCTGAGATTAAAGTCAGAATTCTGAGAAAAAAGTCAGAATTCTGAGATGAAAATTGAAAATCAGTTAACTTTTTTTTTTTCTGTTGCCCTAACGCTCTTCGATACAAGCCAGTATTTCTGTCAGTGTATAGTTATTTTATCAATGTTAATGACTCACCATCCATGTCCTGACCCAGGCAGCAGCACCAGTGGCTGCGTATATTCTCCATTGCATCCCGGTCCTCCTGAGATAACGCCGTATCCCGGCTCATCAGGTGAAGGCAGGGAATGACAGCTTCGTCCATGATGGAAAGAGCCTCCTCCACTTTGCTCTCCTCCCCGCTGCAGAATAGGCGCGATGCGCTGTCATTCAGAGCCTGTTCAGTGGATGAACACAAGGAAAGTTTTGTCACAAAATCTGCCTTTAATATTTAGATTAAATGCTTTTATAGCAACTTATCATCTAATTATATTGACGCCACTTGAAGATGATTGATAGCAGCTTTGTTATTCTTCTTACCCCTCGGGGGTCAACATAGGTACTGCATGAGGGTCGTGAAAGTTTTGGTTGATTAGATTGTTTTTTTATTCCTCTCCTGCAATTTTTTCACTAATTGAAATGTCTTTAAATCCACATTAACATGAATCCAACACACTGTAGTAAACAGATAAATGGAGGCAGAAGATGTCTTTCAGTCATCAATGCACACATTCAGCGACACACAGGAGCTCTTTCAAGCTGGGCACCGTTTCATTTACAACACCTGACCCATCAACCAGGAATCTGAATTAGAAATACTTTAATAATCCCAGGGAGAAATTACTTTCGTTACGTTAATCCATCTGTAATATAGTGACTATAGGACCAGTTTTATGTAGCACAATTTCATACAATATATATATTTAGGGTGATCTCACAATCAGTTTAAATTTTAGATTAGTGCATGGACCATTTTTTTCCTCCATTTTATTGAGAAAACTAACCAAACCTCATTCCTGCAGCCGGAATACAGGATTGTTGGCCTAGTGCAAAGTTCTGGCCCAGATAAAAATACTTCTGCAGCTGCCTCTAGTGCAAACTGAGACCTCTTTAATAACAAAACACTTCATTTAAGGGATGCTTTGGGCTAAAGACTTAAACAGGACTAGTTTCAAGTGTTGATTTACTCACAATGAGGCACTTTCTTCTGTACAATGCAATAAGAGCCTTGTCCAAACCACATTTGTCTCCCTTTCCCAGCAGGACAGCATTGGTCTCATATGCATGAGCCAAGTAGTTCAAAGCCTCTCGTATCCTGTTACACAATTAAAAGAAAACAAATAAGTACAAAAAAAGCCTCACAATTGTTCTTTAAAAAATATAAATCAGACTGATGAGTCTAAACATTCAGGGATGCTAAATTATACATGGTATCTATGTTTAAAATGCACTGTACAATATATATCAATGTACCTGTATAGTACATTTAACATTTAAAAATAGACTAAGTTATAAAACAGAAGTCATTATTTTACGTTCCTATTTTACGTGATTCAGTAAAATGGATCTGATGCTATTTTGGAGTAAATTATGATATAATAGAATAGAATCGAATAGCAGAACTGAATATAATAGAATAGAATACATGTATTATCCCACAGTGCACTGCAAAAAATATTATAGAAATAAGCAAAACATTCTTAAATTAAGTATTTTTACCCTTAATTTAAATAGGTAAAAAAGGTGATTTGCCAATAGAATGAGTATTTTTCCTCTTAAAGTAAGATAATTACATATTTTGCACTTGAAATAAGACAATGTAATTGTTTTTTCTCGTTTTGTATTATGTAAATTTTTTTATTCCATTGGAAAAGTGTCTCAATAGCCTGCTCAATTCAAGAAAAAATTCACCTATTTTAAGAAAAAAGGACTTATTTAGATTACATTTTTTGCAGTGTGTTGAATTTTGGGTGTGACAGTGGCAAAAACAAGTAATAGGAGGAACTCGCACAATCAAGCAATACAAAAAGAGAAAGCGAAAAGAAAATAGACGTGTAAAGAAAAGGGATATTCAGGTAAAAATTAGAAATTTTAAAGTTAAAAAAAAAATAAAAAATGCCAACTGGTTTTCGAAAAGAGGAAAGCCATGTGCATTAATGATGGTAAAAAAAAAAAACTTTCCAGCTAGAATTGAGCAAATATTCATTTACATCTGTTAAGATAAACACTGGAAAAATGATCTAGAAATAAGTAAAAAATATCTGAAATTAAAGGCACACTATGCAACATTTTTCAGTTAATTAATGTGTTCCATAAC